GCCCCCCCTGACTCCCTCCATGCCGCTCCGTGCGTGCTCCGGCCGGCGGAGGAGGAGGAGGAGGAGGAGGAGGAGGAGGAGGCGCGGGGAGGAAGGGGCAGCTCCCGGCCGCTGCCGCCCGCCCTGGCCGCAGCCTGAGGCCAGCGCCCAGCGCCGGGGAGCTGCGTTGCCCCCCGCGAGAGGGGGCAGCGGAGCCCCAAGTCCTCCGGATCTACCTCGAAGTTGGGCCCGGCGCGCTCCCGGGCGGGCAGCGCTGCCAGGCGGTGCCCCACCTTGGGGGGTGCGTGGGGCGTCCCCGAGGAAATGAACCGTCTGCTGCAAGGGCGGAGTGGTAACACGCGAAATGCCTTGAAGCTGCTAAAGAACGAGCCCCGGCATTCGCACACACGCGTGGTTTATGGTGATGGGACTTGGACTCAGAAGACAAACAGAAATCATCGGTCTCCAACTGCAAAAGAAAACAAACCAGCCTCTGTTCTGTCTCTAATGGCATACCATCCGAGAGTGCTGTCTGCAGTGCCTTTATAAGCAAGTTTATTTTCACCTCTTGCTTAAGTGAGTCTGTCTCTGAACAATTGCCAAATCTGCTTAATATGCAGATTTATATAGGGCAGTCACTGATCCAGACAGAGAGGGAAGGACTGCTCTGGCCTCTCCTGCACGACTGTTAAGAACATGCAGAGAGACAGATGAGTGTACCATAAGCCAGGAGCAGTATTAAACTGACCTGAAAATGAAAAGTACTGTATAAGTACCCTGCATTACCGCTCTGTGACTGGACTAGGAAATCGTCATGTTATTCAATCACATGAAAAGCAGGGACAGCAGTATCCCCCCCACTCCCCCTCTCCGAGTTAAATGCAGCCAGCCCAGTGCTGCAAAGTCTACACCTAAAGTAATGCAGCGGGCAAAATTCACCCAGCCTATGCAGAAAGTAGATAGCAAAAGTAGGACAATGTAACAGTAGCATTACAACAAAGCAGTACTTCTAGAAGGTGATTATGAAACAACAGCATTCTGCGTCTTACACCATGCCAGCATTTAAACCTGGAAACCTGCTGACTCAGCAGAATAATTCAGAGAACCAACAAATGATCTGTCCAACAGGTGCCAATCAGTAAATCTGCCTCCTGCCAAGCTAAAACTGCCCCAACAGCCTCATTCAGTGGTCCACCAGTTTCTCTAACAGCTACAAGAGCTGCAGATGAGGAGGAAAGCAGTCTGACAACCCACGGTCCTTACCGGGGAAATTGGCTGATAACACGAAACTCAGCTGGGAGATTTTAGATGTGGTGGTGGGCGATGTTGCTGACATACAACCTGCGGTGCGCTTCCACCATCCAAAATGAAATTACATGTTCTTTGTGGAGGAAAGGTGAGCTGTTCAGTTTGTGCTGTGGTTGCACTAGGCCATGTAGTCAAGGTATACGCAACCCAGTCCCCTGTGTTAAAATGTACGGAGCAACGGGAACAGGACCCTATTCTGCTCTTTGTTCCTCAACACAAAAACTGAGGGTGGATGTTTAAGACCAGGTTTTAGCACACTGTGCTGAATGAGCAGCCGGAGGGAGAGAATCTGAACTTTTGTGCATTTGTCCTGTGTTTCTACAAACCAAGGAAAGATGATGAAGATGGAAAGGGGTACAAGCCACAGCAAAGAAGTACAGCAACAGGAGAGGTTTACCTAAAGCTATGTATTAAACTGAATGAAATTCTGCAGTTGAAAACTGTTTTAACTGGACTTGAGGACTGTTCTGTGTCCTATACAAAGCACCCCATGATGTTTAAGAAGCCCTCATTGCAGTGGTCTTGTAAAAATACATGAGGAACATGAAAAGAGGGAGACAGAAGAGGAAGTTTCTCATCTTCAAGTGTTACAAGGAAAAGTGAGGTCTGGAAATCAGAAAGAGAACAGAAAAGCAAGTGTGGAAAGCAAAGCTAACCATGTGTTATGCATAGCAAGTGCTACAGAAACAGATTGCTAACCGAGAAACTTGTGTTAACCAAGAAGTGGGATATAAATTGAGTGACAGACTTGATTAAACCAAGTACTGAGTGGGAGACTAAATTATGGGAGTAGAGTTTTCAAAAGGAACGTAGACAAAATGAAGCAGGAGGAGGGGTGGCAATATGGATAAGAGAGTATTGTGTCAACAGAAAGAAATATTGATGTTCTGGCTGACATAGCAGTCTGCTTATAACGGAGAGTAAAATGGCAAACAGAGGTGAATCTTGAACAGTGCCTGGGCAGAAAGGGACCAGAACATATCTGAACAGTAAGAAATGGTTTTGGGAGAGACTGTGCGCTAGTAATGGGACATTCCGCTAATGAACAGTAAGTGAGATTCTGACCTCAGTTATGCAGGAATGAAGTCTGCAAGTAATGCCTTGTTTTTAGTATTAGCCAGCTGCAGATTTCACGTTAGCAGAGTAGCAGTTTTGGTCTCTATCTTTTGAAGTAGCACAGGTTTGGCTTATACGGTACACTGAACTGTCAGGGATCTGTCAGGGATTAATCTGATTTTAATAACTGGAGCTGAGTAAGAGTCACTAAAGAAAGCAAGTGAAATGCAAAGGATTTAATGCAAAGCCCATGGGCGTAAATGGACATTTCCTCTGATGTTAATGGACTTTGGATCAGGCCCCATCTGTCCATGGAGCCTAAGGTCAGCTTTGGTATGTTGAAGAATGTCTGTGGGAAGGCAACAACAGAAAAGCATTGGTCTTTAGGGAAGCAGGGTGAAGGACTACGAAATGAGTTCACAGAAACTAATTGGAATTCAACCCACTGTGGAAAATGGGAAGGATGCTGGAGGAGCTGCACGGTAGCATCTTTCCAGCAAGGCTGAATAAGCCAAAGGGCAGCATGTATCAGTGTGCTGAGCAGAGCAGCGCTGCCTAGTGCCAGATATGAAGAGAGGGCGTTGGCAAAAATAAAGGACCTGGGAAGGGTAAGAATGGGGGGAGTTAGAAATCAGTCTGGAAGGGCGAAGGCAAGAAGCAAAAAAGAAATAAGCAATGAATGCGATGAGTAGGCATATTTTTTAAATAGACATTCTCTGGTTTTCTGCCATTAACTTGGGGTCCCACAAAGAATCAAGTAATTTTTCTTCTCTATGCCTCTGCTGTCCAGTCTGTCTATTTAGAGTGAGTAACTCCAGGCAGTTACTCCTATGCCTCACAAGGCATTTACGGGACATAAAATTCAACCTGCCCTGCTCTTATGTGGGGCTTCCTGGCACTACTTAAGTACAATAACAAATGAAAGTACAAAACAAAACACCCAAACCCCTAGAATTGTGTGAAATATCGCATCATCTTAAAATGAGGAATTTTTTGGCAGGTGAAAGTGAGGAAAGTGTTCAAATTCTTAACAATTATTTTGCTACAGATTCTACAAAGAAAAATGCAAGAAGTTACCTCAATCGAGCATCATTTTATCATGACTGTCCACAGACTCACTGTCATGTACACAGAAAAAAACCCCTTATTTTCATAAGTGATTATTCATGTTGGCTATACAATACAAGATCTCTCAAAATATTTTTGTCTTAAGCAACTGTTGAGTACCTACCAGAAACATCAGGCTCCTTTAATGTGCCTGGTTGTTCTCTTCCTTCTCCCAAACTAAGATTCATTTGTTACCTCTGAAAAATCATGATTCAGACAAGTCTAAGTGGATTTGTAGGTGTAGCTGATAAAAATAAAAAGCATGCATAGAAGGAAGGTTGGAAAGAGAGGAACTTCTTAGTGAGTGAATATAAAATTTATATTTGAAATAAACATTAGAGTTCTGGAGAGAAGCAAACATTAAATTACCCTATTA